ACCAAAACATGCATTAGCACAGATGCTAGAAAAGATGAAGGTTTGGTGAATTATGCCCCTCTTCACTTTCAATCAACACAGTTTGAAAAAATGAAATTGGAGATTGGGTTGAATCTGGCAAGAGTCTCACTGATGCAGAAAGAAAAAGCGAAAAAGTTGAAATCAAAGAAACCTTGCTACAACTGGACAAGAACATTACTAAGCACTTGAAATAAGAATCCTACTGGGCAAGAAGGATCAATAAGTTCTCCGCTTTTGCATGCCAAGGATATACTATTCCTCAAGAGTTATCAGTGCATTCATGACCCTCCCCAAAAATGTACATGCATTAATTTTGGAGTCCAGGTTAGAAATTATGTCTTTATTACAAAATCATTATTAAAACCTCTCTCATTACCAAATCATGACAATAATGATAATATTATTTATAAAAGGTAGCAATAATAAAAAATATCAGGCTTCAGGCTCTTCTCTGTCCCTTATAGACCTTCTCTTATTTAATACTCCATAGTCTTTGGATGCACAGGGAATCAAAGAGATCAAGCAAATGCCTGAGCACAGCATGCAGCTGGCTGCAAAAGTAATGCCTGGAAATGAGAAGAGCAAGCTCCAGAACAGAAGGCTGCAGTGTCACCCAGCTACTATGTCACCCAGCTGCAGTGTCATCCAGCTGTACTGTCACCTAGCTGCACTGTCAACCAGCTACACTGTCCCCCAGCTGTAGTGTCACCTAGCTACACTGCCCCTGAGCTGCAGTGCCACCAAGCTGTGCCATCACCCAGTTGCACTGTCCCCCAGCTGTAGTGTCACCTAGCTACACTGCCCCCAAGCTGCAGTGCCACCAAGCTGCACCGTCACCCAGTTGCACTGTCAGCCAGCTAGTGTCACCCAGGTAGTGTCATCCAGCTGCACTGTCACCCAACTGTAGTGTCACCCAGTTATACTGTCCCCCAGCTGCAATGCCACCAAGCTACACTGTCACTCAGATGCAGTGCCAACAAGCTACACTGTCACTCAGATGCAGTGTCACCAAGTACACTGCCACCCAGCTACACTGTCCCCCAGCTGTAGTGTCACACAGCTGCACTGCCACCCAGCTGCACTGGCCCCCAGCTACAGTGTCACCCAGCTGCACCGTCACAGAGCTGCACTGTCACACAGCTGCACTGTCACCCATGTACAGTGTTACCCAGCTACAGTACCGCCCAACTGCAGTGTCACCTAGTTAGTGTCACCCAGCTGTATTGTCACCCAGGTACAGTGTCACCCAGCTACAGTGTCACCCAGCTCCACTGTCACCCAGCAGAACTGTCACACAGCTGCACTGTCACCCAGCTAGGTGTTACCCAGCTACAGTACCGCCCAAGTGCAGTGTCACCTACGTAGTGTCACCGAGCTGTACTGTCACCCAGGTACAGTGTCACCCATCTAGTGTCACCCAGCTACACTGTCACCAGATGCAGTGTCATGCAGCTGTAGCTATAACTCCATCAAGCCCAGTGGAGAGAAACTACCCTTCCTGGGGGAATTAAGTCAGATATATTTTACACATTAAAGTCACATTTTAAGCAACTCCTCAATCTTAGGGCTTGGAGTAAAGGAACTGAAGTAAGCAACTGACATTTTCAGGACACAGTGCATGTGATAGGGTCATGCCGAGGGGTGCGATCCACTGTCACCTTCCAACCAGGTCAAAACTGGCCCTGAAAGCTGTTCACACAGCCCCTGCAACTGCCAACCTCAGCTGCCCTCCCATGACAGTTGCTCAGTTATTTGTCATCTTTATCCCAGATTATAATAAAAGCCGCCTTCTTATCCTGTTTCTCAGCCTCCAAAACCTTTTCCTGTCACTACATACTTATGTTGGAGCCATACTGATTCTTGGAAACAGAAATTTCACCACAACAACCTTCTTTTTAATAAATATCCTTAGGTGTTTCTCCACTTCCTTAGGACAGCATGCAAAATGAGGGTCCCTCCAGGTCTAGTTTCTACCCACTTCTGCGGCTGGATCAATCCCCCACCATCTCCCCACATGCAATCCATGTGGCCAACTTGCTGAACTAATCAGCATACCCAGATTGGTCGTACCCAGTCACCCTTCATGCCAGGACAGAGAGTCTGCCCAGCAAACCAGTACTAGCTCTGAAGTAGCGCCTCCTTTGCAAAGCATACTTGGAAGTCCCATTCCTAAGCAGGGCAGGGGGTTCCCTTCCCTTGGCTGCCCACACTGGTGCCAACTTTCCGGCGCACTTGTCTATTCTCTGCTCATTGTCGAATGGCCTCCTGTCCTTGGCCATAAGCACCTATGACAGGACTGGCAGGCTTTGTGTCCTTTTACCTACTGTGGCGCAAGTCAGTACATATATGTTAAAACTAAAGATGACCCCTTCTCTATATGTTCCTTATTTTATTGACCTCAATTGCTTTATTTTCCTGGACATGTACAGGCTTCATGGCTTCTACTATATACTTTAGCACTGAAATGTATATTGTATGGTTCCATTTATTTATTTATTTTTTCAATGAAGGTCTTGAGGCTAGAGGTTCATGAATAGAGTCACCACAGTTTAAATGGTGTATCCCCAATGGAGGCCAATACAGCCTTGGGGCCATCAGCTATGTCCTGAATAATCAATAAATATTTTTTTTCTTATTTCTCATTTTTTAAATTTATTTTATTGCATTTTAGGTTTTGGGGTACATGTGAAGAACATGCAAGATTGTTGCATAGGTACACATGTGGCAGTGTGATTTGCTGCCTTCCTCCCAATCACCTATATCTGGCATTTCTCCCCTTGCTATCTCTCCCCAACTCCCCACCCCCCACTGACCCTCCTCTATTTCCCCCCAACAGACCCCAGTGTGTAGTGCTCCCCTCCCTGTGTCCATGTGTTCTCACTGTTCAACACCCACCTATGAGTGAGAACATGTGGTGTTTGATCTTCCGCTCTTGTGTCAGTTTGCTGAGAATGATGGTTTCCAGGTTCATCCATGTCCCTACAAAGGACCCAAACTCATCGTTTTTGATGGCTGCATAATATTCCATGGTGTATATGTGCCACATTTTCCCTGTCCAGTCTATCGTCCATGGGCATTTGGGTTGGTTCCAGGTCTTTGCTATTGTAAACAGTGCTGCAATGAACGTTCGTGTGCACGTGTCCTTATAGTAGAGCGATTTATAATCCTTTGGATATATACCCCGTAATGGGATTGCTGGGTCAAATGGAATTTCTATTTCTAGGTTCTTGAGGCATCGCCACAGTCTTCCACAATGGTTGAACTAATTTACACTCCCACCAACAGTGTAAAAGTATTCCTATTTCTCCACATCCTCTCCAGCATCTTTTGTCTCTAGATTTTTTAATGATCATCATTCTAACTGGCGTGAGATGTTATCTCAATGTAGTTTTGATTTGCATTTCTCTGATGACCAGTGATGATGAGCATTTTTTCATATGTTTGTTGGCCTCATGTATGTCTTCTTTTGTAAAGTATCTGTTCATATCCTTTGCCCACTTTTGAATGGGCTTGTTTGTTTTTTTCTTGTAAATCTGCTTTAGTTCTTTGTAAATTCTGGATATCAGCCCTTTGTCAGATGGGTAAACTGCAAAAATTTTTTCCTATTCTGTTGGTTGCCAATTCACTCTAATGACTGTTTCTTTTGTAGTGCAGAAACTGTGGAGTTTGATTAGGTCCCATTTGTCTATTTTGGCTTTTGTTGCCAATGCTTTTGGTGTTTTGGTCATGAAATCCTTGCCTACACCTATGTCCTGAATGGTTTTGCCTACATTTTCTTCTAGGGTTTTTACGGTGTTAGGTCTTATGTTTAAGTCTTTAATCCATCTGGAGTTAATTTTAGTGTAAGGTGTCAGGGAAGGGTCCAGTTTCTGCTTTCTGCACACGGCTAGCCAGTTTTCTAAACACCATTTATTAAACAGGAAATCCTTTCCCCATTGCTTGTTTTTGTCAGGTTTGTCAAAGATCAGATGGTTGTAGATGTGTTGTGTTGCCCCCGAGGCCTTTGTTCTTCAAGAAACCTGTTAATGTCTTAGATAAAGTCTTCTTCAGATATATATGTAGTGGTTTAATTGCAGAGAAGCAGGCTTTTCTGCTCAGGAATTCATACACCTGTCCATTCTGAACTCTGAATAAGACACAAACCATCAAATACCAAGTCCACATCTGGCTTCAAAATGATTAATGAGTACACCTTTGAATTAGTAAACATTCAACCCTAGGCCAATCTTTTTTCTATCTTCATATTTCATCACAGGATAGATTTATGTTTATTATGGCAACCCAAAGAGATGACAAACTCTCAGGTATTCTCCAGAACAGTACAGAGATTAGTACTGTTTCTACTAGTAGGTTTAGTACAATGATGATGCTACAGCCATAATATTATTCAAATTATTTGATGACAGGCCACACAAATTTTAACTCTTCATAATGGCACTTGATTAGTAACATTTCTTTCTCTCCATAACAGATCATGCCTTCTAACTGAAAATTTACTGCAAACATAGCTCACATAACATCAGATTGGTTGTCCTTGAATTGTTCAAATGATTTTATTTCTTATTCATGCCTCTTGCAATAGTTTTATCCGAGCTATTTCTATTTTCTCAATATGTAGGGAAATTTTCCAGGTCATAAGCTTGTTACTGGATGGCTTGCAGTGGGCTTATACTGCCCCCGCTCTGAGTCAGCTGGTAGAAACTCTACTACATGGTGAGAAATTGGGCATCAGGGCGATTGCAATGTATTCCCCTTCCTACCTTGTTTGTAAGTATATGGTTTAGGTGGCAAGAATAGAATAGTCAAACTGGGGATCTGGGCGCCTCCTACGGGTTCTTCAGTTCTCCATGACTAAATTTTGATTCCATGTCTTCATTCGATGATTATATAACTCTATGTACACATACACTGGTCATCCACATGGCCACCTTATTTGTTCTGCAGCTAAGATTCCATAGGCTATAAGCAGCACCACTTTACAAGTAGCACCACAGCCCATCTGGGCCAAAGGAAAGTAAATGCCATCACAGATTGTTTCACGGAAGAGACTTTTGCAGTAACTTTATTAAGGCTTCCTCATGCGATTATGGACATGATAAAGGAAGCTGATAATAATGATGCTATTATTAATGATTGCAATGGTAATTTGTGCTACAGCAGTCCATTGTGAGTGGCAGTTTAGTGTGACTTAAAATTCATAGCATTTTTTTTTGTTTTTACTGACATAGTTTTGTATGCATTTGTTTATATACTTTTTAGTATATGCAGGATTTAAACATTCCATTTATATATGCATGACTTTAAGATCATAAATTGAATAAAAACTTAACAGACATGTCTTTGAGAAATATTTTGTTTTAGAGTTGGCCCGCACGTGTTCAGACGTAGGAATCACTGTTAGAGCACATTGGTTATAAGAGAAACCTGACCCAACTATTTGACTGCTCCTGCTCGTATTATGTGTAGATAATTAAAATTGCTAGTCATATTTTGACCATTGTCTCTGTAGAAAGGGTACGCTGTGTCATCTCACTCCTTTGTTTTGATAACTTCCTGACACTGTTGTGCTACTGATTCTTGTCTAATTGAATTTCAGACTACTGTTTTAAAAACACTGAGTCTCCATGATTTCAGGGGTGTCATGAATACATCCAGTATTGAAATGAACATGCAGAAACTTCTAGTATAGTAATTTCATTTAATAAATGAGAAAAATTAGATCCAGAGAGCAACTAAGTCATCAAGAGGACTAGCCAGCTAGAATTGCTCTCCAGGATATGATGTTAAGCAGATTTCACTAGCAGTATTGATGAAATGATTTGTGAGATAGAGATTATTACTGGAGAACCAAATATCAACTAGAATTAGGTGATAGACAAAGACTTTTTAAAGTTTTTTAATATTTGTTTTTGGTTCAAACTTGATGACACAATGAAACCATCCTTTCAGACTGTCAGAAAATACACTTGGTGTTTACGTGTACTTCTTCCTTTCTTTTTTTAACATTCAAGACATTATTTGGTAGCATTTTACTGAATTTACTTTCTCTCTCAAGTGTTCAGCATCTTAGAGACATTACCTGTAGGATTTCCCATGTGAAGATTAATGACTGTTATTAACATCTCTTAGGACTATTAGTCTTTTGTGCTTTCCTAATTTGGCAAAGTGAGTAGGAAATCGGGAAATAGGTTTATGCATTTTTCCCAGGGAGGTGTCACTCATAGACAGATACAAGTTCTGGAAGGAGTCTTCTGAGAAATTTTGGTGATATCAAGCAGGCTATAGAATTGGAGAATGTTTCTCACAGGGCTCTAGATTATATTTTTGTTGTTTCTTAAACATAACACTGATTGAATCAAATCTGGATTGTTACTCAAACCAGGCTCTCCTGCCCCGAGAAGGGGCCTGTCAGGAAGTTACCATCACACATCTAAATGGAAATCAGGAGCAACGTGAGTCCAGCGCTCTCCAGTCATTTCTTCCTTTCTTTTCTGGAAGCATCCGTACTGCACTGAATGTTTTATAGCAATAGGGGAGGGCAACATGACCATCTTTTACAAGTGGGACCTAAAGTGCCTACTTGACAGGTGCCTATCCCACATGCATGTGCATACGGACCTTCTGGGGATAAGGTTAATATGACTCTTGTCATCCAGCTTGCCTGGGAGGGAACAACCCAGGTGAGAGCTGTGGCTCACACTGCAGGTACAATTAGAATGTGAAGCATTGTGACCGTGGGAAATATTTCTTAAATGAATGAATTAGGAATGCATAAATAAGTGTAACAACAAGCAAATAAATGGACAAGCTAGGAAGAAAATACAAATACTCGGGTTATGAATATATGTGCGTCAAATATAGTAATTATTTAGCATAGGACTGTTCCCTTTTTGAGACTTTACTACGTGGGACATATTTGGGCATTAGAAGGGTGAGTCCGTATATACTTATTACATGTGTTCATGTCATTTTAGAAACGTATTTCTTTCCTAAGGATAGATACAATTAAATTGATAATAGGCCTAATAATATTGATTTTCTCTTTTCTGTCTCTTAAGGTTTAAACAGTGTAGGTTGGCACTACTGTGTTAATAGGGCCAAAAAAATTCACAGCATACAATATTTCATTTAGTACATAAAATAAGATATCTCCCAGTTGTCCCAGCTGTAGCTTCAAACCTGAACCTATGTTAATAAACATGGATAGGTTTACTTTACGTAGCATAATTTAAATGGAAAGCAGTAGACCATCTCTTTGTTGTAAGCCACAGTGATTATTTTAAACATAAATTATTTTAATTAAAATCCATTTTCTTAGTATACAGGAAACTTTATTGGTGTCTTTGTGTTAGTGATTTGGAGATAAAGCCAGTGTCTGGGTGATTCATGAATCTCATTTAATCACTATGATTGAGAAGGGCTTGAATGTTTAATTATCATGACCATTGGCTATATTCCACCTATACTGTTCAAATAATAAATACCTCCCAAATGGCCTCCACCAAGCTGGCTTCAAACAAAATGGGAGATTCATGATGGATGCTTCTAATTACCCTGTTCATCATATTGGAAATTGTCATCTGTATGGTACAATTTCGAATACTAGGAACCAACTAATTTTATAGGATTTTTAAGACAGGTGTGAAAATCATGTTCCTCTAAAAGAGAACCAGAGCAAATCCTTGTCAGTGAATTTAAATTAGGGCACCTACATACTTAACAGTCATATGTACTTCTAATTGACACACGGAAGCAAAGACACTTCCTCAGTAATTCTAGTTAATCAAGAAACTAATTCTTATAGGTGGTGGCAGGAAAAAGGATCAATGCACTTTTCAATTAGACTCTCTTGTTAGGTTAACACTGAAGGCGTGTTTCAGCCTCAGCACTGATCATTTATTTTCTGTAAATAGCGCCATACAGACAACAAATCAATGGGATGGAGAAATCAACTTTAGGTACAATTTTGAAGAACATATACTATAGTTATTATTATTTTAATTAGGCAAATTATAAACCTATTTGCTGTTCTTTATTAGGGGGCTCAAGATAATTAAAGAATTTTTTTAATTGAATAAACCTAAATTTCTGCTGGTCTTTGGAAATGCCAAAGCCATGAGGATGTCTCTCCACTTGAGTTGCAATATTCACTTACTCTTTGTGATAGAACAAATCCAGAGCAAAGCTTCCAGTGGTGGAGATGGGACAGAATTAGTCTGGTGCAAAGGAAGTAGACTCCAGGAGTGTAGATGGGACAGAATTAGACAGGTGCACAGGAAGTATGTTCCAAGGGTGGGGATGGACCGGACTGAGACAGGTGCACAGGAAGTAGATTCCAGGGGTGGAGATGGACTGGGCTGAGACAGTTGCACAGGAAGTAGATTCCAGGGATGGAGATGGACTGGGCTGAGACAGGATCACAGGAAGTAGATTCCTGGGGTGTAGATGGGACTGGAGTGGGACAGGTGCATAGGAAGCAGATTCCAGGGGTGTAGATGGACTGGACTGAAACAGGTGAACAAGAAGCAAAGTCCAGGGGTGGGGTTGGACTGCACTGAGACAGTTGCCCAGAAAGTAGATTCCAGGGCTGTAGATGGGACTGGAGTGAGACAGGTGCACCAGAAGTAGATTCCAGTGTTGGCGATGGACTGGAGTGAGACAGGTGCACAGGAAGTAGATTCCTGGGGTGGAGATGAACTGGAGCGAGACAGTTGCCCAGAAAGCAGATTCCAGGGTGGAGATGGACTGGAGTGAGACAGGTGCACAGGAAGTAGATTCCAGTGTTGGCGATGGACTGGAGTGAGACAGGTGCACAGGAAGTAGATTCCTGGAGTGGAGATGGACTGGAGTGAAACAGGTGCACAGGAAGCAGATTCCCGTGCACAAGTGCATGGGAAATAGATTCCCGGGCTGTAGATGGGATTGGAACTGCTGGTAGCTGTTGTTTTACCTGGGTTCTTATCTTCTCTGTTTAAAACAATTCAAACAAAAGACTCACAGCAAAAGAAGCACTGCACATGGTTACATATTGCAAAAGAAAAAGAATTTTTTTTTTTTAGTAGGGTGGATATAGACAGTACACTCTGATAGAGGGAATTCAGGGCTTGCTGCTAGTGAGGATAAGGCAGCAAAGACTGTCACTATGGAGACTCCCTTTATGGGAGTTTGACATTATTATTCATAAGGAGGTGGGAAGAGGTGTTGGTAGTAAGCATGTTCTGAGTGGTCCTCTGGGCGCACACGTGCAGTAACTGTACATGCTTGCTCATGTATTGCATGTCTTATTAACATCTCAAATCTCTACCCAGGGGTTTATTTTATACTATTTTAATCAACAAATGGTCAGTCTGGCAACAGGTAAAATCAAAGTGTGCATACTCTCTGTAGGGAAAATTCCCTGCTGAAGATATCTTTGCTTGAATGAGCCTAATTACAATGCGAATGCTAACACTTATTGTGGTGGCTGTATGGTTATAGCAGTTGTTGTGGTTGTTGCATTTGAGGATATGACCATTTCTTTGACTACCCGTTCCACCTCAGAGCAAGACACCATGCACAGTAAGAATATTTCAGTGGTGGAGATAGGACCGGAGCCAGACAGGTGCACAGGAAGTAGATTCCAATGGTGGGGATGGGACAGGAGACAGACAGGTGCACAGGAAGTAGATTCAATGGTGGAGATGGGACGGGAGCCAGAAAGGTGCACAGGAAGTAGATTCCAATGGTGGAGATGGGACGGGAGCCAGACAGGTGCACAGGAAGTAGATTCCAATGGTGGAGATGGGACGGGAGCCAGACAGGTGCACAGGAAGTAGATTCCAATGATGGAGATGGGACGGGAGCCAGAAAGGTGCACAGGAAGTAGAGGAATGGCATTTGCCTTTGGTTCATAATGTTTTAAAATTTTGTTTGTTAAAAAATATATATAATTTTAGTAAATGTTCTGGTTTTGCTTTTGCTTTATCCTTTGGAACAAGTTATCAAATTCTCATCATAGTTTTCAGTTTGATCCAGATTTTGTTAAGTTTCAAAGTTACACAATTTCAATGGCCCTCTAAGAAAAGAAAAATTTTATATATGTATATATACATACACATACACACACACACACACACACACACACACACATATATATACACACACACACAAATATATATATGAGAATGAATATTAAGGCTGGGCATGGTGGCTTATGCCTGTAATCCCAGCACTTTGGGAGGCTGAGGCGGGCGGATCATGAAGTCAAGAGATTGAGACCATCCTGGCCAACATGGTGAAACTCAGTCTCTACTAAAAAATACAAAAATTAGCTGGGTGTGGTGGTATGCACCTGTAGTCCCAGTTACTCAGGAGACAGAGGCAGGAGAATCTCTTGAACCCAGGAGGTGGAGGTTGCAGTGAGCCAAGGCAGGAGAATCGCTTGAACCCAGGAGGCAGAGGTTGCAGTGAGCTGAGATCCCGCCACTACACTCCAGCCTGCTGACAGAGCAAGACTCTATTTTTTTAAAAAATTATGATTATTATATTATTAGTTTTGGAGGTAATATTTTTCTTTAAGAAATCACAAGAAGTTACATGTTTTATAGGCTAAAATATTACAAGTATCGTAAATAGAAGAAAAATGTTTTTTAATAAGTTTCTAGTCACTTTATTTCTGATGTGCCATGGGAAGATGTTTTTTTCCTACAGCTTTGGGTAAAGACTCTTCGATCGCCTCTTTGTGTGAGGGTGATTTTGTCATATTTTTGGCAGAGATAATAGAAGCTAATTCCAGCCTTTCTCCAGCATGTTTTGTCAACGTGTTTAATCCATATTACTATTATTGACAGGCTGTTTTCAGTGTGACAACTGAACCATGATTGTTATGTCATATATATATTTGTTTATCACTGTGGTCAGACTTGAGAAAACTTCCTTCACGTTAATTTCACAGAGAGGCCTCTTGCTCTGTCCACATCCAGCCTTCTGTCCTCCCGACTCACCTGCTCTGTGTCTGGCTGGTGGAAGACATTCTCAGCACCTGCACTTGGGCATCTTGGCTCAGTTGTGTTCACCTAGAAGACTGTCCATATTGTCCTAGGATAACTAGCAATAACTTCATAATGCACAGAATTGGGGGAAAATGCATAAATATACGCAAATAAGTGCCTACTTAACTCCTTTTTAACTCCATCTCCAAAATCCCACTACGTGCCAAGCCACGTACTGAAGTACACCAGAGGGAAAGTTGGAGTGAGGAGGGAACAGTCTTAACTGGCTGCACTTCAAATAATCTTTTATTGTCTGCAAAATTCCCCTAAAATAGGATTGTATGCATGGTCTGTTAGATCCCCTTTCAGAACTTAGTAAAGGTCCCGAATGAATGAAGGGCTATGAAGTCTGTCACTTCACAAGCTTTGGGGAAATACTCCTGGTGATGTGTGTAGATAAGTGATAAAACATAGAAAGCAAAAAACATTCCCCACACATCTTCTTGAAGAAGTAGGCTGAAGACAGTTTCCCTTTTCAGCAATTAAGGATGAGTGATGTGTAGCTGTTCTTTGTGCTGGATTATTGAATGTTCAGGTATCTGAGTAAATGCTTGACCTCAGCTCTTTAATTTAACTGTGTAAAATAGGTCTACACATTGGAAGCAGCCTAAACGCCTCATATATTTGGGCTGTTACCTTTCTCTTGCTGATGCTATCTTAAAACTTATGTATCTGTACTGCCTGAATAGAAAGAAGAAACTTTGAAAAGCACATACACAATGAGCCTTACCCAAATGTGACGTACCTTAATTTTTTTTAAATTTTCATTTGCAACTTTCATGCTAGTGATAGTATCATGTGCTAACATTGAAATAACTGATGCTGTTCTTTTGGATGCTGGAAAATGTTCATCTTGCTCTTAAGAGTTTGGTGTTCTGATAATTTTGCAAATCATCTGGACTTAATAAACATGTCAGTAACTAGCCTTATAGGGACAAGCTTTAATGGGTTGCCATTACATATGAGGGAATTACGCTTGTAGAATAATTGATGTGCATAAATCACATAATAATGGAATTATGAAGCTGAGATTCTGTCTCCAGTCATTGTTGTACTGCCTGGGAGACTAGTGCTAAAAGACTGAATTAATTCTTTTTGTTTTGTTTTGTTTTTGAGACAGGGTCTCACTCTGTCACCTAGACTGGAGTGCAGTGATGTGATCACAGCTCACTGCAGCCTGCAGCTCCTGGGCTCAAACAATCCTTCCACCTCAACCTCCCAATTAGTTGAGACCAGCAATATACACCACCACTCCTGACTATTTTTTTTTAAGGAACAGTGTCTTGCTATGTTGTCCAGGCTGGTCTCAAACTCCTGGATTCAAGCAATTCTCCTACCTCGGCCTCCCAAGGTTCTGGGTTTGTAGGCATGAGTCACCACACCTGGCCTTGGATGGATTTCAGAATTGAATTGACCTAATTTCAAGAACCTGCTCATGCAGGGCACCATGCTAATGCCTGTAATCCCAGCACTTTGGGCGGATGAGACAGGTAGATCACTTGAGCCAGGAGTTTGAGACTAGCCTGGGCAACCTGGCAAAAACCCATCTCTACAAAGAAAAATACAAAAATTAGCCGTGCATGGTGGTGCATGCCTGTGGACCCAGCTACTTGGGAGGCTGAGTGGGGAGGATCACTGAAGCCCAGCAAATGGAGGTTGCAGTGAGCCAAGATCATACCACTGCACTCCAGTTTGGATGATAGAACAAGATCCTATCTCAAAACAAAACAAAAAAAGCTGATTGATTATTTCATGGCCTTCATTTTCCTTACCTAGAAAATGGTCATAACATTCATTCCACAGGTTATTGAGAGAATCCTATGAGAGGGTGGCTAGCACGTATGAGGCACTCTAATAACCTTGCTTTTTCCTCCCCTCAGTGAATATACCTACTAAATATGAGAATTTTGTCTAAAAATACACAGATATTACTGTATTTTAGCTGCTGGAAATGTCTAAGAACAAAAATTGGCTTCAAGATAAGCACAAACATCAGAGGCACATGCTGATTTGCATCATGCTCTCAACATAGTCCTTTAAATGTTTTCTGGGGCAGGATGCATTTGGACAGTCCCCGATTTTATTAAATTTGGGAATTGGAAATTGCTTCATTTATCTGGAATGGGAAAAATATACCATGTGCTTTATTTCCTGAAATCTTTATGAAAACCTTATGCATTACCTATTATTTTATCCTTTGGTAGATTTTATTCTCCACTGAGTCCTGTGAGTATGCCCCGGTGCCTTCCTTCATCTTTAAAACTTCCCACTCTTGGTTGAAATCCTCTATCTCTTCTAAGACACTGGGAGTTGGTTCAGGTGGTGGCTGACATCTCCTTTGTCTTTGTTTTCCATAGACTAGTAAAATACCTACTAAACAGTAAACACTGTCCAGTGCCTGTTGAATTCATAGTGCAATTCTCCATTAATATTAAGATTTTTCAAGTAAATCAAATTTAAAACCCAGCAAAATAGCTGATGTTTCTTTGCAAGTTGGAGAAGTAACAATATTTATCTTTCATTGAAAGTAAAATTGTATTCTTCTTAGGGAACATGATACTCTAGTTATCAAAATGCTACAAAAAAAGTTCTAGTCCATACACCCAATAAGAAACTATCTAAGTTATATTATCAGATTATGTAATTTGTCCTAAAATAAAAACACACAAACGCAATGATGATTTGGGATTCAGAATTTTTTTTAATATTTGTATTTTTTGAGAAGGGGCCTCCCTATGTTGCCCAGGCTTGTCTCAAGCTCCTGCGTTTAAGCGATCCTCCCACCTCAGCCGTCCAAGTATCTGAGACTAGGGTCATGTCCATCATGCCCAACGCAGAAAGTAATTTTGATATTTCAGTGTCTTTGACTTTGGGTAATATTTTATTTCATGAATACAAAATAGTCAACAGAGAAATAAAGAATTTGCAAGGCAAGACTATGGAATACCTGTCTTTCTCCATGTCTTTCATATGCTTAAGGTGATACTATATGTAATACGACTATTTTGCAAAACCTATAGTTCAATTCATAGGAAGTCCAGGTTCAGGTTCATTTTGCAGATAAGCAGTAGATAGAACCAACATCCAAATTCTCCATTTCCTCTGCAGACTTTCAGCTGAGTGCTCTTATGACCTAACGTACATTTATCAGATATAGATATGTATAATGATTGCAGTCATTAGTTGACATGCTTCTGATCTTTATCAGCTATATATATATGTATATATCTGCTATATATATAGCTGATAAAGATATATAAATAGCTGATAAAGATCAGAAGCATGTCAACTAATGACTAAAATCTGGAAGGCACTATTTAATGTTTTAGTAAAAATAACATTAATTTTTTTAAAAAAATACAAGCAAAACTTGTTTTAATACCATGAGACTTGGAAGATAATCCTTTATTTTTCTTTTATTTTTAATCTCTGAGACAAATGGCCATGGATTTCTAGAAAAACAACATTTAATAAACCTCTCTTCAATTTATCATTTTCACTTTCATTAATTATTATTGCTGTTAAGTTAATCTTAATGGAATCTTTTACCTTAACCCTTCATTTTATTTTCCAAATATTGATTTTTTTTTGTCTGATTCCTTGGAAGTAAAACTTCTAACTTGCAGGAATCAGTGAATTGGTCATAGACAGATACAATGTAG